CTTTCCCTCTCTCTCTCTCCCTGTTTCTGGTCAAACTAAAAATAAGTAAATAAATGAATAAATAAATTATAAAATTAGAAAAGAAAAAATGCGGACCAGCAGGTGGCATGGTGGTTAAGTGTGCTGGACTCCCACATGGCCAACCATGGTTCAAGCCCTGGACCTGATGGCTTCTTTCTCACTTTCTCTCTCTCTGTCTCTGTTTCTCTCTGGTCAAATTCAAATAATAATGATGATGAATAAAATTAAATAATCCTTTACAAAATTTTAAAAAGAAAAAGTTACTTAAATTTATTTATGTGTCCTTTTGAGATTACAGGCACACACTTGCCTCACATTTTTTTTTTTGGTGGGGGGAGAGATTTTTGCTACAGGGTGCTTGCACTAGTCAGAGAGAGAAAGACAAAGAGACAAAAAGCGAGAAATAATCTCCCAGGAGTGATGGGCATGCTGCAGTCCCTTCTCCTCCATTCTCCTCTGGGATCTCAGGCACGCACACACACACGTGCCTGGCCTGAGTTTTAAGCCATCGCGGGGGTCCGGGACCTGAACCACTGTTGACTATGTGGGAGTCCAGTGACATAACTATTGCATCATCTGTTGGTCCTGCTTGGCATATTTTTTAAGCCGCTGGGTCCAGGACTTAAACCACATAGTCAGTCACGTGGGATCCAGCTCTCTTAACCCTGAGGGAGTGCCAGCCCCTAAATTATGGCTTTAAATTAAAAAATTGCCAATGTGGGGGACCAGCAGTTATCTGATGATTAAGGCACTGGATACTCCCACATGTCCGACCACGGTTCGAGTCCTGGACCTAGCAGCTTGCTTTCTCCCTTTCCTGCTCTCTCTCTCTGTCTCATTCTAGTCAAAGTAAATGAAAGAATAAATAAAATTAAATAAATAGTTTTTTAAATAACCAATTTGTTTTTGAAGCAGGTGTTTTGTTGGGTGTATTACTTTATTTACTGTTACCCAGATCCAAATCATATGGAGATTCAAAGTTGAGAAAAATGTATTTTACAATTATGTGGTAGTAAATATTTGTTGAGAAAGACAAATATAGTCTGTTCTCCAACATCTGTGAGGCTTGAAAACATATCTAAAAGTAGTAGCATGACTTAAACCCTGAAATTATGACAGAATGATTTAATTTAAATATAACTCGATTATTTTTTAAAGATTATTTAATTTTATTTAGTAGCACCTTTTTTTTTTTTTTTTGGAGAGGTTTTTGCTATAGGGTATGTGCACTTACCAGAAAGACAGAGAGAGATAGAGAGACAGAAAGTAAGAAATCACCCCCCAGGGAGGATGGCCATGCCACAATCCCTTCTCCTCCATTCTTCTCACGGGATCTTGGGCACGCACGCACACATGCCCAGTGTGAGGTTAAGCCACTGGGTCCAGGACTTGAACTGCAGTTAACTACGTGGGAGTCCAGCAACGTAGCCATTATGCCAACTGCTGGTCCCAGTAGTACTATCTTTTTACATAATTTCTTTATTTAACTTTATTTATTTATTTTAATTTGGCCAGAGAAGGACAGAGAGAAAGCGAGAGCGAGAGAGAGTGAGAAAGCAAGCCTCCAGGTCTGGGACTCAAACCGTGGGAGTCCAGCGCCATTTACCACCATGCCACCTGCCGGCCCCTAGTAGTACTATTTTAAAATTTATCCAATAGGGCATGTGCACTCACCAGAGAGAGAGACAGAGGGGAAGCCAGAAAGCAAGCTGCCAGGTCTGGGACTTGGACTGTAGTCAGCCATATGGGAGTCTAGCACCTTAACCATCACATCACATCCTGGCCCTATAACTCATAAATTTAAATAGATTACTTTTCCACTCAGAATAATTAAGCTGGTGCATTTGAGGATTAATATTTTATTAACTCTTCTTATAGTTATAAAAGTTGTTTAGTTCAATTTTGGCAGTATTCATTGAATATCAGCTATGACATGGCTAGCCATGTTGTATGGCTAATCGATTAAAAACTGGATATTGGTACCAGCAGATGGTGTAATAGTTATGTTGCTGGACTCCCACATAGTCGACTGTAGTTTGAGATCCAGACCCAGTGACTTAAAACTCATGCCTGGTGGGGCTGGCTGGTAGCATGGTGATTTCTAGCACTGGACTCCCACATAGCTTACTGTGGTTTCAATTCCTGGACCTGGCAGCTTGCTTTCTCACTCTCTCTCTCTCTCTCTGTGCATCTCTCTCTGATGAAAATGAATAATAATAATAATAATAAACAATTATTAAAAAAGAAACAAACAAAAACTCATGCCTGGCACATGTGCGTGCATGCCCAAGATCCCCCGAAGAGAATGGAGGAGAAGGGATTGTGACATGGCCATACCCCTGGGGAGTGATTTCTCGCTTTCTATCTCTGTTTCTCTCTAGTGAGCACATGCTCCCTATAGCAAAAATCTCTAAAAAGAACCAAAAAAAAAAAAAAAAAAAAAACCCTGGATATTATCCCTGCCTTCACATTCTGTTTTGTTTTGTTTTTGTTTTTGATTTTTAGTTTGCTGTAGGACATGTGTGCTCATCAGAAAGACAGAGGACAGAGAGAAAGAAAGTGAGAATTCACCCCCACCCAAGAGGAATGGCTACGCCACAAACCCTTCTCCACTCTCTTTTGAGATTTTGGACATGTGTGCACACATACCGAGTGTGTTCTTCAAACCACTAGGTCCAGGACTTAAACCATGCTGTTGGCCATATGAGATCCAGACACCTTAATCACCATGCCACCAGCTTGCCCTTAAACGCTGGTTTTAAAGACAATACCAGCACAAAATTATAGAATAACACAAGAATGAATGTCTTTTTTTAGTTTGCTATAGGGCATTGCACTCGCAAGAGACAGAGAACACACCACCTGGGGAGATGACCATGCCACAGTCCCTTCTCCAGTCTCCTCTTAGGATTTTGACTACCCATGCAGTATGCACCTGGCATGATTTTGAGTCCCAGGTCCAGGACTCAAACGGCACAGTCAACCGTGAGTATCCAGCTACCTTAACCATCACTCTACCAGCTAGCCCCAAGACTGATTATTAACAAATTTTTAAAAAATATTTATTTATTTATTTATTTTATTCATACATTTATTTTAATTTGACCAGAGAGAGATACACAGAGAGAGAGAGAGAGGAGGAAAGTGAGAAAGCAAGCCACCAGGTCCGGTATTCGAACTGCAGTAGGCCATGTGGGAGTGTCCAGCACCTTAACCACCATGCCACCTGCTGGTCCCCATTATTAACTAATCTTTAAAAAACATTTGAATACATATTTCTGGTAAGTCAGGAGGTAAACAGATTAGTATCATTAGAAGATTTTTAACAAATGTTCATCACTTCCCTCTGTACAAAGAATAAACAGTGCCAGCAGGTGGTGTGGATTTCAAGGCAGCTGGGTCCCACGTGGCCCACAGTGTGGCACAAATCTCAGACCTGGCACTTGAAAACCACGCTGGGCACTTGTGGGTGCATGCCCAAAATCCCCAGAGGAGAGTGGAGAATGGATTGCAGTATGGCCGTCCCCCTGAATGGAAAGTTCCCACTTTTTCTCTCACCCTCTTTCTGGTGAGTGCATGCACCTATAACAAAAAGAGAAAAAATGAATTATTTTTTATATAAATTATCACTGTACATATTTACCTATTATAATTTTAGTCTTAAATGAATAGTAACTGTGGCATTGTTTAATCTCTCTTTAAAAGGTGATATACTGGGACCAGTAGGTGGCATAGTGGTTAAGACACTGGACTCTCATGTGGCCAACTACTGTTTGAGTCCCGGATCTGGCAACTTGAAACTCATGCTAGGCACGTGTGTGTGTGTGTGCATGCTGAAAATTGCAGGAGGAGAAGGGATTGTGGCATTGCCATCTCCCTGGGGAGTTATTTCTCTCTCTGTGATATACTTTTTTTTTTTAAAGAGATTTTTGCTATACGGTGCATACACTCGCTGGAGAGACAGAGAAACAGAAAGTGAGAAATCACCTCCCAGGGGAAATGGCCACACCGCAGTCCCCTCTCCTTTATTCCCCTCCTGGGATTTTGGTTACGCACACACATGTGCCTAGTGTGGGCTTTTTAAGCTGCTGGGTCTGGAACTTGAACCGTGGCTAACTACATGAGTCCAGCAATATAACCATTATACCATCTGCTGGTCCCAAGGTGATATACTTTTGTGGCCAGTCAGTGGCATGGTGGTTAAGATGGCTGGATCTCACATGACCCACTGTGCTATTCAAGTCCTGGACTTAGCAACTTGGAAAATATGCTGGGTGTGTGTGCATGCCTGCCCAAAATCCCCAAAGAAGAATGTAGGAGAAGGGATTGTGGTGTGGCCATCCCCCCCAAGGAGTACTTTCTCATTCTCTCTCTGTCTCTGGCATGTGCACATGCCCTAAGCAAACTATTAAATAGATAGATAGATAGATAGATAGATAGATAGATAGATAGATAGATAGATAGATAGATAGATACTTCAGACATATGAGGACATTTTAGGAAAAACAATACAATGGAATAGTAGATCTGAGGAAGACTTATTGAATTAGAGATTGGCCACACTCATACCCTCATTTTTAGAGAAGAAGAATTTTTTTTTTTTAAGAGAGATTTTTGCGGGAACCAGTAGTTAGCGTAATGGCTATGTCACTGGACTCCCATAGTCGACCGCAGTTCACATCCTGTACCTGGTGGCTTAAAACTCACACCGGACGCATGTGTGTGCGTGCCCAAGATCCCGAGAGGAGGATAGAGGAGAAGGGATTGCGGCATGACCATCCCCCCCTGGGGGGTGATTTCTCGCTTTCTGTCTCTAATGTCTCTCTCTGTCTGTCTGGTGAGCGCATGCACCCTATAGCGAAAATCTCTCCCAAAAAAAGAGAGAGAGAGAGATATTTTTGCTTAGGGTGCATGAACTCACCGGAGAAATAGAGAGACAGAAAGTGAGAAATCACCCCACCTCCACCCCCACCCCACCCCCACCCTCACCCCCAGGGAGGATGGCCGTGCCACAATCCCTTCTCCTCCATTCTCTTTTTGGGATTGACTGCAGTTTGAGCGTCAGACCTGGCGGCTTGCTTTCTCACTTTCTCTCTCTGTTTCTGTCTCCTCTTTCTCTGGTCAAATTAAAACAAATAATACTAATAAATAAAGTTAAGTAAAATAATTCTTTTTTAAAAAAAGTGGAAGAGTGAAATCTTGTATCTTTAAGAGTGATTGAGAACTACAGTAATAAGTGATGAAATTTAATGGACTCCACAATTTAGAGTTAGGAGTCAAGAGGCTATGAGACCTATGACCTCCAACCCCAAGTGACCCAGGCCTGTGTCTCAAATTTCTCTTTTTGGGACCAGCAAATGGCATAATGATTATGTTGCTGAACTCTCACATAGTCAACTGTGATTTGTGTCCCAGACCTTATGGCTTAAAACTCATACCAGGATCGTGTGCACACATGCCAGGCCCCCGCCAGGTCCAGGACTCGAACCATGGTCGGCCATGTGGGAGTGTCCAGCACCTTAACCATCATGCCGCCTGCTGGTCGCTCTATAGGGCCATTCTTTAATATGTAATTTAGCATCAAAAAATTACTTTCTGTGGTTAATAATCTTAAGACTGTTAATCTCTAAGAGCTATTTGTTTTTTATATTTTAAGTAATTTTTTTAACTGCCAGAGGATGCATGCACTTGCCAGAGGGAAAGACAGAAAGAAAGCACCTTCCAATGGGGCATGGTCATGGCACCATCCCTTCTCTTATATTTCTTATCTTACCAGGATGCACACATGCACACATGCACACAGCATATTTCTCAAGGTTCTGAGGCTGGGACTTGAACTGTAAATGGTTATGTGGGATCTGGCTCCTTTAACTACTAGGCTATCAAACCAGTCCTCTAAAAAAAAGTTTCAGAATCTTCCATTTCACTTAGTTTATCTGCTTTATGTAAATTTCAGCTTCTTTTTCTTTACAAATGCCTTAACTTTTTAAAATTTCAGTTATCTGTTAAAAAAAGTAGGGAAAAAAGTAACTGAAGAAGTGTTCTTTTTTCCTTTTCCTAGCTTGTGGTCAGCTGTTAGATGAGGCACAAGTAACCTTATCCTTCCAAGACTGGCTGGCCAGTGTCACAGAACGGATCCATCAAACCATGCATTATCAGTTTGATGGTAAGTATTGGTGAAACACCTGGGCTGCTGTTGAAAGAAGCGGAAATAGGGCCAGCAGGTGGCATGATGGTTAAGGCACTGGATCCCACATGACTGACTGTGGGGTTTGTGTCCCAGACCTTGCTGCTTGGAAAACATGCCAGGCGCATGTGCGTGTATGCCTAAAATTCCAAGAGGAGAATGGAGGAGGAAGGTTTGCAGTGTGGCCATTCCCTCTGGTGGATGATTTCTCACTTTCTGTCTTAGACTAGCTCACACACCCTATGGCAGAAATCTAAAAAAAAGAAAATTATGTAGGGGGGAATTAAAGTTATGGTGCTATAGTTCTACTCTGTTTTGGTAGGAAAATAATTGGACTTTAGTCTAGAGAGCATTGGACCATAAAAAAGTAGAAATCTAAGTTGTGGGCCAGAAGGTGGCATGGTGGTTAAGGTGTGGGAGGTTGGATCCCACATGACCAACTGTGTGGTTGAGTCCCAGACCTAGCATCTTGCAAATCATGCCAGGCATGTATATGTGCATGCCTAAAATCCCAAGAGGAGACTGGTGAGAGATTGCTTCATGGCCATCCCCCCCAGGGGGATGATTTCTCACTTTCCCTCTTTCTCTCTGTCTCTGTCTCTCTCTCAAGTCCACACACATACCCAATAGCAAAACTAAAAAAAGAAAAAGAAAAAAAGAATCTAAGTTAAAAGAAGGGAAAACAAAATTTAAGTTGAATTAAAATTCTAGACCAGCGAAATGAATTTAAGAGATGGAAGAGAAGTAAAACATAGCTAAGGGCCTGCAGATAGTGTGGAGGGAAAGGCAGCTGGATCCCACATGGCTGACTGAGCAGTTCAAGTCCTGGACCCAGTGGCCTGAAAAGCACAGTAGGTGTGTGTATGTGCAAGCCCAAAATCCCAGGAGGAGGGACCAGCAGTTAGTATAATGGCTATGTCGCTGGACTCCCACGTAGTCGATTGTGGTTCAAGTCCCGGACCCACTGCCTTAAACTTACGCCGGGCGCGTGTGTGTGCGTGCCCAAGATCCTGAGAGGAGAATGGAGGAGAAGGGATTGTGGCGTGGCCATCCCCTCTGGGGGGTGATTTCTTACTTTCTCTCTGTCTCTCTCTGTCTGTCTGGCAAGTGCACGCACCCTATAGCAAAAAAAAAAAAAGAAAAGAAAAAACAAGAAAAAACAAACCTCTTTAAAAAAAAGAAAAAAAAAATCCCAGGAGGAGAGTGAAGAGGAAGGGATTGCATCATGGCCCTCTCCCCCACCCCCTAAGCCAGGAGGTGATTTCTCTTTCTCTCTGGTGAGTACATGCCCCCTACAGTAAATAAACAAAAGGAAGAAACACCATAGCTGATAATTAGTAAAGATATATAACCTTGGTCTTATGGGAAGGGGAGAGGAAAGTACTAGAACTTCAAATCATTCTAGTCTTCAAACTTAAAATCAAAGTGCAGGAAAGAAAATCTTAGACAAAATCTAAATATATGAGGCTAAAATAGTTATATAGACATAAATTAGAGACATGCTGAGGAAGATTGGAGAACACCATTGGGCATGGTTTATTTATTATAGCCTCATAGAACCTCAGTGATCTTAGAGGTGCCCTGTCTAGCCCACCGTTGCCCATTGCCTTAAAAACAGCATTGATAGATGATTTCTAGGCTTTGTCCAGTGATGAGGAGCTCACTGCTCTTGAGGCAGCTTATAATGAACAGTGGTAGCTGTGCAGAAGGTCTTCCTCATGTTAAGTAGAAGTGTTTGCTTGTCACACTTCTTGGTGGTTCTAGTTCTGTGCTCAAGCCGCCTGGACCAGGTCTGATTCTGTATCCAGGTAACAATTCCTGCCACTGCACACATGCAGACCCATTGTTGAGCTTGACACGTCATTCGTTTTTCAAGAGATGTAGCACAGGTTCTTCAAACTCTCCTTATGCCGTGTTTACAGACCTTATATCATCTTAATGTTCTTTGCTGAAGGTATTCTAGTTTATAAGAATCATTAAAAACTTAAGCCACTCTGAGCTGAGTAATAGCCTTATGGAAGACACTCAACAGAAGGAGGTGAGTTCTGAGGGATAATAGCAGTTATGGGGCATAGAGGTTAGGGAATCAGATCCCACATGACCAACCACATGGTTCTAGTCCTGGACCCAACAGCTTGAAAAACACACTGGGCACATGTGTGTAAATGCCCAAAATTTCAACAGGATGGAGAAATGGAGACGGGATTATGGTATGACCATGCCCCGTTGGAGGATATGTCCTCCCTTTCTGTCTCTCTGATGAGTGCATGAACTCTTTGCCAAATTAAACTAGATAAATAAGTAAAACAGTTATGGCTTCATGGTAAAGAAAAGGAAAAGAGGGGCCTGCAGGTGGCATGGTGGTTAAGGCACTGGACTCCCACGTAGTCAACTATGGTTTGAGTCCCATACCCGGTGGCTTGAAACTCATGCCAGGCGTGTGTGTGTGTGTGTGTGTGTGCATGCCCAAAATGCCAAGAGGAGACTGGACATGAAGAGACTGTGGCCATCCCCTGTAAAGGGTGATTTCTCATCTTCTGTCTCTCTTGCAAGTGCACACACCCTATAACAAAAACCTCTGAAGAGGGGACCAGCAGTTAGCGTAATGGCTGTGTCGCTGGACTCCCATGTAGTCGACCGTGGTTCGCGTCCCAGACCCGGTGGCTTAAAACTCATACTGGGTGCGTATGTGTGCGTGCCCAAGATCCCAAGAGGAGAATGGAGGAGAAGGGATTGCGGCTATCCCTCCTGGGGGTTGATTTCTTGCTTTCTGTCTCTCTGTCTCACTATAGGGCACGTGCGCTCGCCAGACAGACAGAGAGAGACATAGAGACAGAAAGCAAGAAATCACTCCCCAGGGGGGATGGTCACTCCGCAATCCCTTCTCCTCCATTCTCCTCTTGGGATCTTGGGCATGCACGCACACGCGCCCGGCGTGAGTTCTAAGCCACCGGGTCCAGGACGTGAACCGCGGTCGACTACGTGGGAATCCAGCGACATAGCCATTACGCTAACTGCTGGTTCCCCAAGAATGGAAGTCTTGAAATACATGCTTAAATATTAATTCAGAATAAATAAAACATTAGAGATTAGGTTTTTTTAATAACTAGACAAGACAAGGAGGGTTATAAAGATGAAATAATTTGTTTTCTTTTAATATTTTATTAATTTATAATTTAAAATAATGTAATGACTACCTACTAAGTCACCTTCCAAAGAGAATATAGAACATTGTGTTTGACAGAATGTAGATACTATAAGCATTATGTCGTGGTCCTCCTCTATCCTATTCCTGCCTCCATCACCCATGCGGACCCCCTCTCACCATCTCCATCACTACCTACCACCTTTGTTTAAGTCACCATCAGCTTGCTCCTTGAGTATGAGTCTATGTCTTTTATGAGGCTTTTTGAGATTACTATAATTTTTTAATGCCAGAGGGTGCATACACTGACCAGAGAAAGAGAGAAAGAGAAAGCAAGAAAACACTTCCCATGGAGCATAGTCACACCACAATCCCTTCTCCATTTCTCCCTCCTTTTGGGATTTTTGGACACACACACATAGTTTTGCCTGCCAGGTTTTTCAAGCCACAGGGTCCAAGACTCAAATTGCAGGATTAGCCATGTGGGATCCAGCTGCCTTAACTACCCGACCATGGGCTGGCCCTCAGGATTAATTCTTCTTGGGGCCAGCAGGTGGCGTGGTAGTTAAAGGTGCTGGATTCCCACATGGCTGACCATGGTTTGAGTCCTAGACCTGGCAGCTTGCTTTCTCGCTTTCCCTTTCTTGCTCTCTCTGTCTCTGTCTGGTCAAATTTAAAAATAATAATAGTAATAGTAATAACAACAACAAATGGAATTAAATAAATAATTATTTTAAGAAAAGCATTAATTCTTCTTTTTTTTTAAAGGATTTTACCATAGGGTACATGCACTGGTGGAAAGAGACAGACAGTGAGAAATCACCCTCTGGGGGGATAGCCAGGTCGTAATCCCTTCTTGTTCCTCTCAGGATTTGGGGCATGCACACACATGTGCTGGGTGTGATTTTCTTTCTTTCTTAATTTCTTTTTTTTTTTTTTTAAGAGGTTTTTTTTTTTTTTTTTTTTTTTTTTTTTTTGCTATAGGGTGCATGCGCTCATCAGAGAAACAGAAAGAGAGAAATCACTACCAAGGGGAAATGGCCACATTGCAATTCCTTTTTCTCCATTTTCCTCTCTGAATTTTGGGCATGCACACACACACCTGGTGTGAATTTTAAGCTGTTAGGTCCAGGACTTAAACTGCAGTCAACTACATGGGAGTCCAGTGATGTAACCATTATGCCACCTGCTGGTCTCTTAATTTTATTTATTATTATTACTATTTTTTAATTTGCTGTAGGGCATATGCTTTCACTGGAGAGAGACAGAAACAGAAAGAGGGAAGGTGAGAAAGCAAGCTGCTAGGTCCAGAACTCAAACTATGATCTGCCATAGCCATCATGCCACCTGCTGGCCCCTCACAGTGTGTTTTTCTTTCTTTTTTATTTTTGGAGAGGTTTTTGCTATAGGTCGGGTATGCTCTCCAGAAAGGCAGAGAGAGGCAGAGAGACAGAAAGTAAGAAATCACTCCCCAGGGAGGATGGTCACGATGCAATCCCTTCTTCTTCATTCTCCTCTTGGGATCTCGAGCATGCACACACACACACATGCCCGGTGTGAGTTTAAGCCACTGGATCCGGGACACGAACCATGGGTGACTACATGGGTATCCAACAACATAGCCACTATGCCAACTGCTGGTCCCATTATTTTTGAGGAAATATTTATGTGTCAACTCCTCAAACTGTTGAAAAGCAAAGACCCAGCACACAATTTACACAAAAACCTTCTCAATTCAGCCCTGTCTACCAAGTATTCTGTGATATACCATCTACTAGCAAAGATCAGTCTTTTTGCCTTTAGAGTCTTCCTCAAGATAATCCTTTGGTTATGGCTGCTCTTTTGCAATCTCTACTGATTACAATGCTGGGCTGGAAAAGTCTAGGTTATTTTATGGTATGAATTCTTTCATCCTCTCTGCTAGGCAGAACTGTTTATGGTACCAGGCCATCTTTCTAAGAGCTTCTGTTGGCTTGCTTGAGATCCACCTTAGTTCCATAGTTTTCTGGTTTAATCTTCAGATACAACATTCCAGTTAAAGCCCTGTCCAGTAATGAGTATTTCCAATTTCTGATTCAAGACAACAGGTATTACTGAACTTATGCAGATAACCATTCTGCCACAAAGTAAGAATACTCCCAAATATTTGCCAATTCCAGAGGGGTCAGGAAGGGAGAATAGTTTGTTTCCCTTTAAAGAAACAAACAAACAACAAGAAAAAAAATTTTTTAACAAATTGCTGAACCTATCAACAGCTCAAAAGAAAGCAAAATCCTTAAATTGGGAAAACAAAGCAGACTAGAGAAAAAGACAGTAGCGTTTTACTCAGAAGTTGAAATTCTACTTTGCCCGTCCAGTCTTATGTTCAGTCTCTCTTCTGTTGAATCTGCAGCACTGCTGTGGTCTGATCTTTCCATTTAAATCCTGGAAGTTAACATTCAACTTTATCGTTGATATTTCTTGTCCCTAGCCTTAAGTCAGTCATTTTCTTGGTTGCTTTTTGTTCTCTTATTTCTGTATGTGTGTCTTTAGTTTTCCTTGTAAAGCATTCCTTTCAGAACTTCTTGAATAGCTGGCCTGGTGTTGGTAAATTTTTTCAGGTTTTGTTTATTTGAGAATGTTTTTATCTTTGCTTCCCATATGAAGGATAATCTTGCCAGGTACAGTATTCTTGGTTAAAACTGTTTTTCGGGCCCAGCAGTTAGCGTCATGGCTATGTCGCTGGACTCCCACATAGTCGACCGCGGTTCGAGTCCCGGACCCGGTGGCTTAAAACTCACGCCGGGCGCGTGTGCATGCATGCCCAAGATCCCGAGAGGAGAACGGAGGAAAAGGGATTGTGGCATGGCCATCCCCCCTGGGGGGTGATTTCTCGCTTTCTGTCTCTTCTCTGTCTGTCTGGCGAGTGCACGTGCCCTATAGCAAAAACCTCTCCAAAAAAAAACTGTTTTTCATTTGGGACTCTCAGTTAACTTAATGGCTATGTCGCTGGACTCCCACATAGTTGACCACGGTTCGAGTCCTGGACCTGGTGGCTTAAACTCACGCTGAGCGCGTGTTCATGCGTGCCCAAGATCCCGAGAGGAGAATGGAGGAGAAGGGATTGTGGTGTGGCCATCCCCCCTGGGGAGTGATTTCTCACTTTCTGTTTCTCTGTCTCTCTCTGTCTGTCTGGCGAGTGCACACGCCCTATAGCAAAAACTTCTCCAAAAAAAGAAAAATAAACAACTGTTTTTCATTTAATATTTTGAATATATCTTCCTATTGTTTCCTTGCTCGCATTATATCTGATGAGAGGTCTGATGTTAGCCTGATAGGATAACCTTTATAAGTAACCTGACATTTATCTCTTGCTAATTTTAGTATTTTGTCTTTGTGGATTTGGCCAATCTGGCTATGATATGCCTTGGAGAAAATCTTCTTGGGTTGATTTTAAAAGGGGTCCTTTGTATTTCTTGGGTCTGGATATTTGACTGCCTCTCTAGATTTGGAAAGTTTTCTTCTAGGATTTCAAAGAATAGATTATCAGTGCCCTTATTAGTTTCCTCACCTTCTAGGACACCAGTTATCCAGATATTTGGGCGCTTAATGGTATCTAGTGTTTCTTGTATAGTATTCTCATTTTGGGGGGTTATTTTCTCAGTCTTTTTGGTTGTTTTTTTCTAGGTCAGAGGTTTTGTCTTCAACATCCAAGATTTACTCTTCTGCATGGACTAATCTTTTAATATTTTCGAGGGTGGTTCTGATTCCTGTATAGCAGCCTTCATCCCTAACAGCTCCATTTGATTCTTTTTTATGGTGTGTATTTCCTCTTTCAGATCATGCAAGAACGTCCTCACCTCCTAGAACTCGTCTCCTTCCTGCATCTTCTGGAGTTCATTGTCTCTCAGCTCTTGGTCTCGTTTAGTTTTGTCCCTATGCATATTCTGAATTCTCTGTCAGACATTTCCACGAGTTCCACGGCACTGTCTGTGTATGATGAAGGATTGTTCTTTTCACTTAGGAGAGAGAGATTTTCTTGGTTTCTCATATTCCTTGTGCCTCTTTTGTGGTTTCTGGTCATTCTGTGACAAAATCTCTCCTCTTGTCTGAGTGTTTCAGGGTCTAGAAGATGAGGCTTAGAGCATAGCTTTAGTTGCCTTGGTCCCTGAACACTCCAGGACACACCTCAGGTTTAAAATGACTTCTTGTCTGAGTGTTTTGGGGTCTAGAAGATGAGACTTATAACATAGCTTTAGTCACCTTGGTCCCTACTCAGTGGACTTTTTGATATACAGGGGCAGGTGGAAAAATTGAAATTGAGAGGTAATAACTACAAATAACACTGAATGCACCAGCTGGTGGCATAGTGGTTAAGGCAGCTGGATCCCACATGGCCAACTTCTTGATTCAGCAGCTGGAAAAACATATGTGTGCTGCGTGCCTAAGATCCTGAGAGGAGAATGGAGGAGAAGGGATTGTGGCATGGCCATCCCCCCTGTGGGGTGATTTCTCACTATCTGTCTGGCAGGCCATGCCCCCTATAACAAACAACTCTAAAAAAAAAAAAAAAAGAAAAAGAAAGAAAGAAAAAAATTTCAGTTTTTTTAAAATTTGAGTCGTTTATTAGCTGTCAAGAACTATGGGGGCTGGCAGGTGGCATGATGGTTGAGGGCACTGGACTCCCACATGACCGACCACGGTTTGAGTCCTGTACCTGGTGGCTTGCTTTCTCACTTTCCTTCTCACTCTGTTCCTCTATGGTCGATTTAAAATAAATAAATAAAGATAAAATAATTATTAAAAAGAAAAAGAACTATGGAGTGTGAGCAAAAATGTTTTGATATGTAAAGTAGATTTTTGTGGGAAAATGTAAAAGTTAATAGATAAATGATAGAAAAAAGAAAAGAAAAATGGAAAAAAAAAAGTCCACTGAGTTTCTTTAAATGACCATCTTATTTCTACAGGCAAACCTGAGCCACTGGTATTCCACATTCCTCAGTCCTTTTTTGATGCCCTACAGCAGAGAATATCTATAGGAAGTGCAAAGAAACGGCTCCCCAACTCCACCACAGGTATGGTATTTTTTTCCTCAAGAATAGCCATAGATGTCTTGAGTACAGAGAATTATGTTTAGAAAAAAATCTGTATGAATTTTTGTGGTTAAGATTTGCTTAAAGCAGGACCAACAGGTGGTGTGGTGGCTAAGGCACCAGACACTCCCACATGGCCAACCATGGTTTTGAGTCCTGGACCTGGTGGTTTACTTTCTCTCTCTCTCTCTCTCTGGTCAAATTAAAATAAATGAATGAATAAATAAAATTAAAGAAATAATTCTTTGAAAAACAAATGAAGAAAGATTTGCTTAAAGCAAGAAACCTCAGAAATCAGCTCTTGGAGTAATGACCACGCTACTTGAAGGCTCTGAGGTATTCTAGTAAGAGTTCATGGAGGGGCCAGCAGGTGGTGTGGTGGCGAAGACACTAAACTTCCACATAGTCGACTCTGGTTCGAGTCCTGAACCTGATGGCTAGCTTTTATTAATTAATTAATTAATTAAAAATAAAAAAGAGTTTATGGAAGGGAGAAAGACAATAGTGCATCAGTGATGCTTTGTGAGAAAATCCCAGATGGGAACGTTCCAAGTTCAGGTCCAGAGTCCTTGCTGAGTACTCATGTGCCCATGACTGCAGGCTGGCTAAAGGCATGGGTGGATCATGATGTGAGCATCCTGTTGGGATAACTGCATGCCTCAAGACCTTGTTCGGGTGCTGCCCCTCTCTCCGTCTGTTTCTTTTCCTCTCACTCATTGGAGAAACTTTTAGAATTCTTGGGACCAGTAGTTAGCATAATGGCTATGTCGCTGGACACCCACGTAGTTGACCGCAGTTCGTTTCCCAGACCCAGGGCTTAAAACTCATGCCGGGCATGTGTGCGTGCGTACCCAAGATCCCGAGAGAATGAAGGAGAAGGGATTGGGGGGCGATTTCTCATTTTCTGTCTCTCTGTCTCTCTCTGTCTTTCTGGTGAGTGCACGCACCCTATAGCAAAAACCAACCCCCCCCAAAAAAAAGAATTCTTTAATTTAACTTTTAAAAAAATTAGTTATTTTACTTATTTATTTTGATTTAACCAGAGAGGGACAGAGTGAGAAAGAGAGAGAGTGAGTAAGCCATCAGGTCTGGGACTCAAACCGCGGTCAGCCATGTGGGAGTCCGGCTGCCTTAACCACCATGCCACCTGCCAGCCCAATAGAATTATTTTCAAAACGACTGTAGAAAAGCATTTCCATTTATTTATTTTTTTACTGTATTATTAATTTTCTTTCCATGACAAAGAGAGATGCAGAGAGAGATAAGAAAAGGAACTCCCAGGGTCATCACACTGCGATCTACCCCTATCTCAGCCAGCCCAGATCAGCTACATGCAAGAGCCTGGCATACTCAGGGAGGTCATAGGACATGAAGCCCGGACCTTTTCCATGTGAGTCCAGTTGGGTTAGTGCTGCACCATCACTTGGACCCTATTTATTATTTTCTTTAAGACAGGGTTTTGCTGTGGTGCCCAGGACACCCTTAAGCTCTTGATACTTCTGCCTCAGCCTCCTGAGAAGCTGAAATTATAGGCACAAGCTACTGTGCCCAGCTTTTAGGTTGGACTTGAAATCAAACCCGAGCCTCCTACATGGTCCCAGCTTATGGTGCACAGCATCTTAACCTCGCACACCACCACGGCTGGACCTTTTCCACTTCTTAAACTCAAAAGGTCTCACCTGAATATGATGGTAGAATACTGATAATATCCTGGTTCTTTAATATAACCGAATCCATGCACTGAAATAACTATGGGATTATCAGAAAAGTCATGTATTTTTCTATGCAAAAATGCATTATGACTTCCATCAACCCAATACATAAGCCAAATCACTTCACAATAAGAATATTTCCGCAATGCCACATTGAAAATCTTAAAGCAAGTTTTCCATGTACATAACATGCACTTAAAAATTATTGATTTTATAGGAAGAGTAGTCTGGTGTATACTGTATTCAAAACAGAGTCATAAAAATAGTCTATTAAATTATATACTATTGTTTTAAAAGATTCTTAGAAAAGTATAAAATTCTTAAGTGCAGTAACTCCTCTACATTTGGAACATTTCCTATGCATTAAACTAAATGTTTCAAATTTACATATTTATATATGTGATGAGAGGATATAGGGGATATAGGGAGGATTCAATCTATTTCTTGCTTTAAATAGCAAAAGCAATAATTCACACTTTCAAGATGCAATTTTTTAAACAAATTTCATTTTCATTTTTTTCAGAAAGTATATTCATTGGTTCACATAGGATGACTTCTATGTATTGCCTATTTAATCTGCACACAAACAGATGTAAATTCTGTAACTGGAAAACTGACTCTGCACTTAAAAATAAATCACTATTTAGCATTGAACACTTAAAAACTGAAATTCGATAATTACATCTATATAGTAATAAATACTACTCAACTTTGTAATTTATATTATTCTGCCTGATTTAATAACATGCTACTTTCAATATCTATATAAGCAAATTTAAATTCTAGTTATTTATTATGTGGCAATGTTTCTGGCTTAATTTCATTATGACATGGTAGTAATGACTGCTGCAGTATCCTCCTTAGTAATATACACTTTTGAATATAAGGAGTTGTATAGTATTTCATCTTCCTTCTTATTTTTTATTATTATTCATACATTAAATCGCTATACATCATTTAGATTGTGAAGAGACTTTACTTCACATGATTTTACTTTAAATCATGTGAAGCACATGATTTACAAGCAGAATTAACAATATATAACTTAAAGGTAAATATATAGCTGGTGAGACTATTAAGAAAATCTAGTGAGTGAGCAACATAAACTGCAGGATTGCTGCTAACACTGAAGGAGAGGAAGAACAGGATAAGAGAGGGTTATTCAGTGCATTTCTAAAGTGTTAGTAAAATCCTATTACTTACCCTATATAATGAATACATGCAAGTTTATTAGTTTTATTTATTTAAATTTTACATGTACATGCATATTCTATTTGTGTTTGCTTTTTCCATGTTAAACAGATAAAGATAATTGAAAAAAGATATTTTTCTATACAAGAAAAAGAATAATGACATATGAACCTTTTGTTACAGAAAAAGATACATGAATCTAAGCAAAGCAGTATTAAAAAAAAAAAGATAAAAGTTGAAAATAGTTCAAGGGACCAGCAGATGGCGTAATGGTTATGTCGCTGGACTCCCATGTAGTCAACCATGGTTTGAGTGCCAGACCCAGTGGCTTCAAACTCACGTCGGGTGTGTGTGTGTGTGTGTGTGCGTGCCCAAGACCCAGAGAGGAGAATGGAGGAGAAGGGATTGCGGCAGGGTCACCCCCCACTAGGGGGTGATTTCTCACTTTCCATCTCTGTCTCTCTGCTTTCTTGCGAGCCCACATGCCCTATAGCAAAAAAACTCTCCAAAAAAAATAAATAAATAATAAGTTAAAAATAGTTCAAAAGAATTAAAATAGTGGACTTTAAAAATAAATAAAATATGTCATGACCAAATCAAAAAGGGGAAAAAAGAAAGATCAAGCACAAATTTTCATAAAGAGAGCTGGAAAATTACTGAACATAAAGTTTAGTTGAGGGCTTTCTTGGGTAACACCAATTCTCTACCATGATCAAAATCCCCACCATCATCCTCCCTGTACATGGGATTCAAAAGTGTAGACATACTGGAAGGCAATGGAGGTACTCCTCTAAGTAGTAAGTTAGTGCGCAGAGTGGGTGAAAGACTACATGAGGAAACCCTTCTTTATCTTGTTTCTATCTGCCCACTTACTGTACACAAGATGACTTTCCTTTCCAGCACAGCAAGACCTACAGGAAAAGCATTCCTTTCTCTTGAATGGTTACTCATTACAATAGAAACAGTATACAGCATAGGGTCTGTTGAAGGTAACCTGACAACGGATTGGCTCCTCTTGACCTCAGTAAATGCAATATTTTTTTCTCATTTGGTTTTATTGTATCTGCAGAACCAGAAAGCTGACACTCAAAATGGCACCTGAAATATTTTTATGATATTATAATAGTGAATAGATGTCATTTTACATTTGTCAAAATCCATACAGGGGCCAGTCATTGCTTGGTGATTATACAAGCTGTATCCCACATGGCTAACTACATGGTTCAAGTCCCAAACCCAGTGGCTTGAATAAACGTGCCAGGAGTAGTGCAAGCATGCCCAAAATGCTTGAAAAGGGGGAAATGGGGAAGGGATTGCAGTATGACTATTCCTCATGGGGAGTGCTTTCTTGCTTTCTCTCTCACTCACTCACTCTTTGCTTCCTTCCAGGAAGTGCACACAACTTCTGGCAAATTAAAAAAAAAAATACAATGTACAACACAAAAAATAAACTCTACTCTTTGATAAACTATAGACTTTAGTTTACAATAATATCTCAATATTGCGCTAGACTTGTAGAACAGTGGTTAAGAGAGCTGGGTCCCATGTGATTTGAATCTGGATGCCAACAATTTGTAAAACATGGCAGGAGTATGTACATGCATTCCCAAAATCCTAATTAAATAGAGGAAGGAGGAATTATGGCATAACCATGCCCCAGTGGGAAATGCTTTCTCTCGTTCTCTCTCTAATGAGTATGTACATTCCCTGGCAATTAAAAAAAAAAATCTCCATATTTCCTCACCAATTATACCAAATGAACCACATTAAGGCAAGATGTTAATGATAGAAGAAACCAAGGAGGTTGTGGCAATATATGGAACCTCTATTTTTCATTCATTTTTCTATAAACTTAAAACTGTTCTGCTCAAAATAAAGTCCATTGGGACCAGCCGGTGGCGTGGTAGTTAGGGCATTGGACACTCCCATGTGCCCAACTACTGTTCAAATCCTGGACCTGGTGGCTCTCCTCTCTCTCTCTCTCTTTCTCTCTGGTCAAATTAAAATAAATGAATGAATAAGTAAAATTAAATAAATAATTCTTTACAAAATTTAAAAATAAAGTCCATTAGTTACTTT